GGAATGGCCACTGCACTCCAGTCTGGGTGACAGAGTGAGACTCCAACTAAAAAAAAAAAGAAACAATTTCTCACTACGTTTCCTAGGCTGGTCTCAAACTCAGTGGCTCAAGCAGTCCTCTCACTTTGGCCTCCCAAAGTGCTGGGATTACAGGCATGAGCCACCACACCCAGGCCCCGTAGTTTTTATATGGAATATGCAGGGGCTTGTCATGAGTGATCAGAGTAGCTGTGAAAGGGAGCTGAGAGGCACAGGAGTTAAAAGTGGAAATGAGATGTGGGATGATCAGCGCTGTGTGACTTCTGGGGTTTTTAGTGCATGTCTAGAGGACTCCAATAGTTTTTAGCCCCTTCCTTCTTTCAACACAAGTTGGGCAGTGTTGAGGGAAGCTCCTAGTAACAGCCTGAACATGGGCCTTTGCCAGCCACTTTGCTTCTCTGATCTTCCCAAGCATGTTGTGGAAACTAGGGATTTTCCTGTCCCCACCAGGCAGCACAGTGACCCCAGGTTCCCCTGCATCGATGTGGAATCCCGAGGAGTTAGCAACTTCTCAGATGGAGTTGCTTTGGAAGCAACTGTGCCAGTTCTGCCCTATCCCGCCTTCAGTGACCACCTTGGGGCTGCCCAGCCAAGGGCCCTCATTCCCATGAGCTGCTCAGCCTGCAAAGTCACTGCCTCCCAGGGCCCCCTACCTCATGGCTGATTCTTACTGGATCACATGAAACTGTAAGCAGGGCCCTAAAAAACCAAGTTTTTTCATTAGACATTGAATATGCAGTGGGCACGCAGAGAATTGGAAGAGATAGTGACCTGACCTTCTGTCTACAGGCCATTTAGCCAAGGCCATACATAGGGTGGAATCTGCTAAATGGATATAGCAGGACACTGGAAAGAAGCACATTTGAGTCAATGCTCCTGAGGATCAGAGCCAGGAGTCCTGGGGAGGCCTGCGGATCGCTTGACTCTGGGAAGCCAGCTCTGTCCTTCTGTCTCTTCTCCCTGGATAATTCAAGACGTATACAGGCTCACTTCCACTTACAGGGTCATGATCTTAGGGAAGTTCCTTCACTTCTGTGAGCATCATTTTCCCACTCAGAATAAAGTCCTCCTTAGTGCAATGTACTTGTTCCATTCTCTTATGACTTTGGGCTTTGGTTTCTTGTTTTTTGTTTTTTTTTTTAAGAGGGAAAATACTTCTGTTTTTTTCTTAAGCATCACTATGAATAAAATTTGTGCACCTATTGAACATTGCACAGCTTTTCTATTTGATTTTGGGCTTTGACTTGGCCTTGGAAATCCCAACTGCCACAAATGGATGGGGCAGCTGAACTTCTTGAACACAGAGTCTGAGAGACTTCTGTAGCTGCTGGCAGCAGCCAGAGGACCCTGGAAGGGCTAACTGGAGCTTTAACCAAGGAGGTAGAGCAGGGCTGCGCTGTCAGGCCCAGGGACCATGTCAGAACTGGATTTTGAGAGGAGTTGGGAGAGGCGAAGCAGCCAGGCTTACAGGATTTCCGTGGCGGGCCTGTGCTCAGGGGCTCCCCTCCCAGTCTTTCTGACTCTTATTCTGGCCCCCTTGCATCTGGCATGGCTTCAAGCTCCTTTCCTTAGAGCTGATACCCAAATTACCCCACAAATGGCGTCTTCTCCCTGTTCTTACCTGCCAGGGCAACACGGGACCTCAGGCTGTAGGTGCTTCCAAGGACCTTGGAGTTCATTTCATCCATCATATACAGACAGACATAGGCAACTGCCCAGAGGGCTGGTTGGAGAGAGGGAGCCCAGCACCCCATCTCCTGACAGCCAGGTTCTCCCTCTAACACCAGAGCTGGAAGGATTGTTAATGGTTCACTGAGCTAACCCAGCAATGCCTATCTATAATCCACAGTGGAGACGGAAGAGGGACAATCACAGGATCAGGACCGGCCCTCCCTTCTTCCTGGGAGGGGCCTCCCACGGGCACAGAGAACGCTGTGGGTGGGGGGAGTCTGTTCACAATCTCCTGGGATCTTCTCTGGGGCACTTTCTCTTACAGTTCACCTGAAATTAACTGCACTTAACCGGACTGGGAACTTTCTAAGCCTGGTGCTTCCACCGTGAGACTCTGGGGAGATCACTTTACTCTTTGTTTACCTTCTGGCAAAGAAGTGAAGACATTGGGGCCTGGGAGTCATGCAAAGCGATACTGTCTGTGCAGAGTTAGAGGGGAGAGCCCTTGCTTTTGTCTACCCTCTGATTAAGTGGGTGTCTCCTCTCCTGCTAGCTTTGTCCCCTCTGAGACTCGGGGATGGGGCTGGGGCAGAGCCAGGATGCCTGTTGGATTTATATGCACACTATTTTTCCTCTCTAAAATTCCAGGGTTGTGCTGCGGCGGCCCAGCGCCTGACAATTGAAGGGGAACCTGCCAGAGGATTACTGCAAGCTCCAGGACAGGCTGGCCTCAGGGGAGTGGGGATGGGCAGAGCAGTCTCTGAGCCTGGACCAGCAGTTTCAGAAAGGAGGCCTGGACTCTGGCAGGGAGCTCGGCACATGCTCGGCTGACCCAGATGGTGTTGGATGCAGCACCCCACTGAGCAGCAGCTGTCCCCAGCACCAGAGGACCCCACAGCAGGAGTAGGAGCTTTGTGCCCCTATGAAACTGCAGGTGGGGCTGTGGCCACCAGGACAAGGGAGCAGCACCTCGGATGGAAAGCAGCAGGGCAGAACCTTTTACAAGGAGGACCTTGGTCTCTGTGGCAGAGTTTTCTGACACCCACAGCGCTTCCTGCTTTTCTCCTCTCAGGGTTGGGGCCTGGTTCCCTTCTCTAGCAGAGGGCTTTGGCCAGGAGGAGCAGTCAAAGTGGAGATGACTTTTGCATGGAATCCAGGCCCCCTGGAGTCCATGGGCTCTCTGTTGTGATTGGGGATCTGGGGCTTCCCTGCTGCAGGGGACGAGGGGCCGCCTCAGTGTCTGCTCATGAACCACAAGGATCCCAACTGCTCCAGACTGGACTGTTTCAAGCCGCCAAAGAGGGGGATCCCTAGAACTGGCAGCCAGCAATCTCAAGGGACTAAAAGGCTGGGATGGATTGACCTCCCCCTTCCCAGGGCAGTGGGAGAGGCAGAGCCTCTGTGGCCCAGCTAGTGACGGAGAGACCCGATGAAGGTCTCTAAGTAGGGGCTTGAGTGACTCAGGGACAGGGGAGCCACTCCTGCTGACGTGCTTTCTCCTTACACTGAGGGAGGGTGTGGCGAGGGACCCCGGGCGCTGTCCTCTGCCTCAGCACGTGCCCCTATGCCCTTTGCACGTGGTGTCAGAACAGGCAGGCGACGCCGTGACTGGCCCCTTCGTGGGCTGGGACAGCAGTGGCCACGGTGACAGCTACCTGCCCCCCGGCACCATGAAGTGCTCCCTGCGGGTGTGGTTCCTCTCTGTGGCTTTCCTGCTGGTGTTCATCATGTCCCTGCTCTTCACCTACTCGCACCACAGCATGGCCACCCTGCCCTACCTGGACTCGGGGGCTCTGGGCGGGACTCACCGGGTGAAGCTGGTGCCAGGCTATGCTGGCCTGCAGCGCCTCAGCAAGGAGGGGCTCTCAGGCAAGAGCTGTGCCTGCCGCCGCTGCATGGGCGACACCAGTACCTCTGACTGGTTTGACAGCCACTTCGATGGCAACATTTCCCCTGTCTGGACCCGAGAGAACATGGATCTTCCACCAGATGTCCAGAGGTGGTGGATGGTGAGAGCCATTGCCCTGACTACTTCCCCTTTGCCTCCCCTCTCCAGGGATCTGTCCCCACTTTTTAGAATCACTCTTAACACCTGCTCTTGGGTTTGGACTGTCTTCTGGCCCCCAAAGCCTTGACAAAGCATGAGGGCCATTGGACCAGAGCCATAGATAGGATCACAGATTACTGAAGGGTGGATCAAACTCTGACCTGGAAGGAGAGAGAACTAGTATTTTATAATGCCTGTAGAAGCCAAATATAGACCAGCAGTGCCTACTAGACCAGGAAGGCAGCATGGACGAGGGGACAGGTCCCAAGCGAGAAGCTGGCAGGGGTAGCTGCCCCTTGGCTCCCTTGGCCCCTTGGCTCCAGCAGTTGTTGCTGTGTAAGGATGCAGCTCAAGCCGGGCTCAGTGGCTCAGCCTGTAATCCCGCGCCTTTGGGAGGCTGAGGTGAATGGATTGCCTGAGCCCTCGGGTTCGAGACCCACCTGGGCAGGCAAGACCTCATCTCTACAATAAATCAAAAAAAATTAGCCGGGCGTGGTAGCACGCGCCTGTAATTCCGGCTACTCGGAAGGCTGAGGCGGAAGGATCACTGGAGCCCAGCAGGTCAAGGCTGCGGTGGCCAGGAGCGGCCACTCCACTCCAGTCTGGGTGAGACTGCTGACCTTTTAAGGAAACCTAGAAATCCAGCCTTTTAAACTAAATATCCTAATTTATAAACCTTGGCTCAAAATAATTGTAAACACCACGAGAGTCACTTGCTTCCTTCTTTACAATCTCTATAAAAGAATTTTTTCTGGACTGGGAGAAGAAGGTGTTGTAAGGGACATTTATTCTATTTTATAGAATAAAGTGTTGCTGGATTCTCAAATTTAAATAAAAGCAAGCAAGCATTGCAAACTACTGTCAGAGGCTAAGAAAGGTGAAGGGGTGGGGCTGGGGGATCCTGTGGCTGCAGGTATCCCTGTCTTTCCAGGCATTCACCTTTCTGCTTCTTTTCATTCCTTCTACCTCACCCCAGCCTCTGGAGCATCACTCTCCAGGCTCTACAGGCTATGTGGTTGCCACAGTGTCAATGGTGGAGCAGTGTCAGCACTTTACCCTCGCAGGCTCCAAAGCTCATGTGAGCAGGCTTATCAGAACAACTCCACAGAACCTGCCTTCTGGCCCATACTGTTAGAGTGCCCAAGGACTGGGGTCTGCAGAGCAGGGGTCACTTGGAGCCCCACAGGCCCTTCCCACGACAGCCTGGGCCCTCAAAGGGTCCTGCCTGTTGCTTGTAGTCACTGCCTTCATTTTATGGAGGAAATCAAGGTTCAGAGAGTATACAGGCTTTGCCCAAGGTCATAGTCTTAGCGGTGGCCATATAGGGCCAGAACAGGACTCTGGCAGGGGTGGATGCCCAGTAAACAGGCCAGGACTCCTGCCCACAGGATGGTACTCAGCGACTGTTTATGTACCAGGCATTACTCCGCTGAAACACTTCTTCCCTGCTCCCCACAACCACCCCCTTTTGCCATGAACTTGGAAATTTTTGTCTCAGAGTCAAGCATCCTCTCCAGACGGATTTTCTATCCCTTGAGCAGCTCCTGCTCACCCACTAATTCGAGTTATGGCTCTATTCACAGAGCATTTTTTTCTTTTTTGAGCTGGCATCTCACTTTGTCTCCCTGGCTGGAGTGCAATGGCATGTTCATGGCCACCACATCCTCCACCTGCTCAAGTGATCCTTCTACCTCAGCCTTCCAAGTAGCTGGAACCATGGGTGTGTGCCACCATACCTGGCTAATTTTTTGATTTACTGTAGAGGTGAGAGGATTACCTGAGCCCGCAGGTTCGAGACCAGCCTGGGCAACATGGTGAGACCTCATCTCTATAATAAATCAAAAAAATTAGCTGGGCATGGTAGCGTGCGCCTGTAGTGCTGGCTACTTGGAAGGCTGAGGCAGAAGGATCGCCTGAGCCCAGCAGGTCGAGGCTGCAGTGGCTGGGAGCATGCCACTGTACTCTAGCCTGGGTGACACAGTGAGACTCCAACTCAAAAAATTAAAATAAAAAACTTGAATCAGTTATCAACACTCAGAAATCAAGATATTTCACATGAAATCCATATTTTCAGCTTCTCATGAAAAATTGGAAAATTTGGCCTTTCTGGACTCATGATCCCCTGTGGCAATAATTGGCCGAAGTTGTCCCTTTTTTGGGGGTGGGGTCTCTGTTGCCCAGGCTGGAGTACAGTGACACATTCACAGGCACTGCAACCTTGACCTGCTGGGCTCAGACAGTCCTTCCACCTCAGCCTCCCAAGTCGCTGGAACCACAGGTGTGTGCCACCATGCCTGGCTAATTTTTTCTTATTTTATTGTAGAGATGAGGTTTCTCTAAGTTGCCCAGGCTGGTCTCGAACCCCTCTGCCTCCCAAACTGCTGGGATTATAGGCATGAGCCACTGCACCCAGCTTCAGAGCATTTTAAATCAACATCACCAATTGATGGCCCATGGACGAAGTCGAACTCAGTCAACGTTTTTAAAATATTTGTATCATTTAAAAAAAAAAAAAGGCTGGGCACAGTGGCACAAGCCTATATCCCAGGACTTTGGGAGGCTAAGGCAAGAGGATTGCCTGAGCCCGTGGGTTTGAGATCAGCCTGGGCAACATGGTAAGACCTCATCTCTACAATAAGTCAAAAAAAATTAGCTGGGCGTGGTAGCCTGGCACCTGTAGTTCTGGCTACTTGGAAGACTGAGGTGGAAGGATTGCCTGAGCCCAGCAGATTGAGCCTGCTCTGGCTGGGAGCATGCCACTGCACTCCAGCCTGGGTGACAGAGTGAGACTCCAACTCAAAAAAAAAAACTTGCATCAGTCATCAACACTCAGAAATCAAAATATTTCACATGAAATCCGTATTTTCAGCTCGTGAAAAATGGGAAAATTTGGCCTTTCTGGGCTCACTATCATATTTGGCAATAATTGACTGAAGTTGTCCCTTCTTTTTTTGTTGTTTTTTTGAGTTGGAGTCTCACTTCGTCGCCCAGACTGGAGTACAGTGGCTGCTCCTGGCCACCGCAGCCTCGACCTGCTGGGCTCCGGCGATCCTTCTGCCTCAGCCTTCCAAGTAGCCGGAATTACAGGCATGCGCTACCACGCCCGGCTGCTTTTTTTGATTTATTGTAGAGATGAGGTCTCACTGCCCAGGCGGGTCTCAAACCCGCAGGCTCAGGCAATCCACTCACCTCAGCCTCCCAAAGGTGCGGGATTATAGGCTGAGCCACCGAGCCCGGCTTTTTTTTTTTTTTTGAATCGGAATCTCACTCTGTCGTCCAGACTGAAGAGCAGTAGCACACTCACAGCCACCGCAACTTCGACCTGCTAGGCTCAAGCAATCCTTCCGCCTCAGCCTTCCAAGTAGCTGGAACCACAGGGGCACGTCACCATGCCCTGCTAGTTTTTGTTATTTATTGTAGAGATGAGGTCTCACCAAGTTGCCCAGACTGGTCTCGAACCTCTGGACTCAGGCAATCCTGTTGTCTCAGCCTCCCAAAGTGCTGGGATTACAGGCTGTGCCACCGACCCTAGCTGACTTGTCCATTCTTGATGGGACACATATTTCCTGTCCACTGTGGGCCCTGCCTGCACTTCCCTCCTGGGTGGTACCTGCCTGGCCCCATGAGCATTTGCTTGCCTCCTGCCTCATTTCCTGGTCTTTGACCATCTGCTGGTTGGATTCCAGGTCTTGCTAGTGATGGGGGGCCAGTTTTATTCTAGCCTTTTGGCTCTGAAAGAATGTATGTGCCTAGGCCAAGTGCGATGGCTCAGCCCGTATCCCAGCACTTTGGGAGGCCGAGGTGAGAGGATTGCCTGAGCCCGGGAGTTTGAGACCAGCCTTGAGCAGCTTGGTGAGACCTCATCTCTACAATAGATCACAAAAATTAGCTGAGTGCGGTGGCGTGCGCCTATAGTTCCAGCTACTTGAAAGGCTGAGGTGGAAGGATCACCTAAGCCCAGCAGGTTGAGGTTGTGGTGGCCATAAATGTGCCACTGCATTTCAGCCTGAGCAACAAGTGTGAGGCTCCAACTCAAAAAAAAAAAAAAGAATATATGTGCCTCTGTGCCCTCCGCAAGGGCTTGGGGAGTGGCTCAGGTGTCCATGATTCTAGTCCTGGATGCAGCTTTGGTAACCAGCTCCCACCCAGGCTGAGTCCCAGGGATATCCCCTGTAGGCTGATAGGGAAGGAGCCCCTGAAGGAAGTTGCTCTGCTTGGTAGCTCAGGTCTGCAGATCTCTAGAGAATGTATGACCCTGTAGCGCTCTTCCAGTGCATCAGAACAGCCCTGTCACTAGCAGGACACCCTGGTCTCTGGACAGTGAGCCACTTGAAACCAATAACTTTGCTGTTGCTGAAAGAGGGGAGGATCCTCACTGCTCAGAGACTCTCACTCCCTGTCAGAGCCCTGGATAAAGAGGTCTGAGTGCTCAGACCTGGAGTAAGGGCAGAGGAGGGGTGGTGTGGAGCCCTCCCTTCTTACGCCTCTCCTCTCCTCTCCCCTCCCCATTTCCCCCTCTATTCCTGTCTCCTCCACAGATGTTACAGCCCCAGTTCAAATCACACAATACCAATGAGGTGCTGGAGAAACTGTTCCAGATAGTTCCGGGCGAGAACCCCTACCGTTTTCGGGACCCCCACCAGTGCCGGCGCTGCGCTGTGGTAGGGAACTCAGGCAACCTGCGGGGCTCTGGCTATGGGCAGGATGTGGATGGACACAACTTCATCATGAGGTGAGCAGACCCAGGACAAGCCTCTGGGAAGGGGAACTGGCCTCCTGGCCATGTCTGGCAGGGGACACATTGCCTGCTGCTAGAGGTGCTGTGGGGCTTTGAACCCCAGAACCTTCTGTGACAGGCTAAGCTCTTTCTCCATTGTCTGGAGTGGACTAAAAGGCAGAATTCCAAGTCGAAGCTTTTCTTGAGGCCCGCACTCAGTTTCTAAGGCTCAAATTCCTCTGAAAAGAACCGAAACTAGATGCCTGACTGACATTTGGTGGCAAATCCCACCAGAGGCCCTTCCTACCCACCTGGTCCCCTCAGCAGGTGGGCCAGGCGTGAGGGCCCCCAACCAAACTAGTATCTTCCTTAATAGCAACAGGTGATACTTTATGGCCGATTCATAGGAGACAAAATGCCTGGGCACAAATAGGAGCTGTTCAGAGCACACTCTGGGGCTGGATCATTCCAGAGATTTCTGTGCCCAGCATGAGGGAAGAAGGGTTAAGAGGGCATTCAGAGCCATTGCTTTGTTAAACTCTGGTGTGTCCGCATGGCTCTTTGAGCTATGGCCACCATGTTTCTTAGCTTTGGCCCCCTCGCCTACCTTGAGGAGGTGAATCTCCCCTTTCTCTCTCTTATTTACTTTCTAAATAAACTATATTTTCTAATGTTAAAAAAAAAGCATTCAACCCAGACAAAGGCACAGCAATGAAGACCTGGGCATGAGCAGGTAATAAAGGGTAGATTTGTGGCCCAGACACAGGCTGCTTTCCCTACTCCTGAGCCTTTGTGTTTTCTGACTTCCTCCCTCAACTTGGCAGAAACAGGAAATGCCACAGTGGAGATCCTTCCATCCCGTTCCTTGGTGGAGGAAGAGCCTGAAGGATAGAGATATGGAAAATGCCCTGTTTTCACACATCTCTTAGGATGAGCATTGTAAAAAGACCAGGTTTCCCAGGAGGCAGAGGGAAGGGCTTTGTCTTAGAAACTGTTGCTGTCTCCATAGCAACGCCAAGGCAGCAATATGTCTCTGGGGGTTTCAACATTCCCTGTAAGACCTTCCTTGTGTTGAGAAATGATGTAAGGCAGAGAGAGAGGAGGATGGACTCCCCCAGGACCCCCGATCCTCCTGAGAGTATCCCCATCCTCCTACTACCAGTACCCCAAATGGAGAGAGGCGAAATGGGAACTGAAGAGGGGCCTCTCCCCACCCAGAGATGGTGGCAGAAGCTGGGGAATGAGGTGCCCATCACTCCAGTGCAGCCCTGGGCCACTCAGGAAGCCCAGGACAGCTCTCAGGTACCTGACCCCTGCGCCAAGTGGCACTTTCATCAGGCACTCCAGTGCTGGTGGGGAGACTCCCAGGTAGAAGCCTTGCCAGCCCAAATGATTTGGCTGCTCATGGTACCCACGAGGTGCCATCAGGCCAGGCTGCAGAAAGAAATTTATAGATGCTCCCTCACAGGGGCCAGGCCAGGAAATGTGGTATCATGAAGTAGACCCTAGAATCACTTTCTGGAGGGCGTGACCCAGATGGTGATTGGCTGTCTTCTGGTCTGTACAAGAAGCCAAGTGGAAATGGAAGTGACTCTGCCTGTAGCCATATCTGGGGTTTGGAACCAATGGAGAGACCTCCCATCCTAGAAGCAAGACCAACACATGACCAACGGGGAGAACTGAGCTGAGTTCAGTGAGATAATGGCCTGACCCACATGTCCCCCTGCCCATCTCGCTGCCTCCTCCTCCTCCTATTTGTCCTCTGAGTCCTGCTGACTAGTCCAAATAGAATTGAGCTGGTCCTGCCTCAGCTGGCCAGCAAATCCATCCATATAACTCCTAGAACAGTGCCTCGTAGATAGTAGGCATGCCATAAATATATGCATGAATGAACGAGACTAGGTAGCCAGATACCAGGTCCTAAATAAGAAAGCATGTCAACCCTGCCCAGGCCCCTGCTCCCAAGTACTCCTTGGGCTGCTGGCAGCAGCCAGAGACAGATAGATTTCTAGATTGCTATGCCCCAAGTCCTGGAGCTGTAGCTCATCTTCCAGCCTGCCCTGGCCCCTTTCCAGGGCTTGGCTTTTCCAAAATGAATCAGAGCCTCAAAACAAAATCTTGTCCCCATTAGAGTGCCACGTTCCTTCCCTTCCCCTTGGGGCAACGTCTTTTGGGATCTCTTGCTCCCTTCATTCCCAGACTTTTGGAAGCTGGTGCCTGGCCAGCAATGGCAGGAGTCGGGGGCAGGCTCTGCAATAGGGACACCCACAGGTGCAGGAGGCAGCGTGATCCTGCTGACAGGTCCCAGGAGGGACTTCAGGACAGCTTGGGCTGCCAAGTCATTGGAGAAGGTGGGTCTTCAGGAGACACCCTGGGCAGCTGCAGCCCTTTGATCTGCAGGACTGGCTTGGCCTCTGTGTCCGGTGAGATGAAGTGTGTCTCTTAGGTCCTCACAAGAGTACATCTTGGCCTCAGCTCTTGCCTAGCCCAGGCCCTGGCCAGCCTGAGTGTCACCAGCCCAATCCATCTACTTCCTGCTTAGGCTTCCATACCCCAGGCAACTGAGAGATACTTCCTCTCCAACCTCTCTGTACTCATGGGGGGTGAAGGGTTGGGGGAGTATGACGCAGCAGGAGGCAGATTCATACTGTGGCTTTATGACCATAGGACACCAACATCTCTGTGTGAAGCTGTAGCAGCCCCCACAAACTGTCTGCTACGAGATATTCATGAGTAGGAAAGATACTTCTTGGCTTCTCTAGAAGGCAGTGTCTCTGAGTCCCAAAGAGGGCCACCCAAGCTGGGCTCAGTGGATCAGCCTGTAATCCCACGCTTTGGGAGACTAAGGTGAGTGGATTGCCTGAGCCTGCGGGTTCGAGACCTGCCTGGGCAACTTGGCAAGACCTCATCTCTACAATAAATAAAAAAAAATTAGCCGGGTGTGGTAGCGCACACCTGTAGTTCCAGCTACTTGGAAGGCTGAGGCGGAAGGATCGCTGGAGCCCAGCAGGTTGAGGCTGTGGTGGCCGGGAGCAGCCACTGCACTCCGGTCTGGGTGACAGAGTGAGACTCCAACTCAAAAAAAAAAAAAAAAAAAAAAGAGGGCCACCCAGACAGGAGGCAGAGGCAGAGGGCAGTTCACTTTAAGACATGGATTTGGGTGAGAAAGGCAGGAACTAGATCCCCGTTCAGGGGACAGCACATTAGGTACTCTGGAGAATATTCTGGGAATCTGTTTGAACCAGACAAGAACTAAAGCGGTTAAGAACAAAGCCTCACTCTCTAGACTTGATGGCCTCTCATTCCAAAGCATACTCTAGTCCCTCAAGGGAAGGGAAAAGGAGAGGCAGGCTGGGCACGGTGGCTTACACCTGTAATCCCAGCACTTTGGGAGGCAGAGGCAAGAGGATTGCCTTAGCCCACGGGTTTGAGACAAGCCTGGACAACATGGGAAGACCTCGTCTCTACAATAAAGCAAAAAAAAATTAGCCGGGCGTGGTGGTGCATGCCTGTAGTTCCAGCTACTTGGAAGGCTGAGATGGAGGGATCACCGGAGCCCAGCAGGTTGAGGCTGAGGAGGCTGCAAGCATGCCACTGCACTCCAGTCTGGGCGACAGAGTGAGACTCTACTCAAAAAGGAAGAAGAAGAGAGGTAAGGGGCACAGCAATGTGACTGGTGAGGGCGGGCAGGGAACCTGGACAGCACAGCCCCTGGTCCTCTTCAGTCCCATCCCTGAATAGGAAGGCAGCATGAGCGTCCCCGTGACACAGCATGTCCTCACTCAGCCGAGCTAGGTGGTGCCAGCCACTGTAAAGATAGGGAAGGCTTATGCTGGTTCCATACAACTGGCATAGAAAGCTGATAGAGGCACTTAAGAGATTTTGCTCCCTCTCTTCCGTGTCCCTATATCCTCAGTGGAAGACCGGGTTGCAGTCATCCCACCTTGCTAGTCACGATTCCATAATGTCTACGCAAGACAGGAATATCCTCATAAACAATCATAGCAGGAAAGGAAAGACCAACAGTTTAAAGCTGGTTCGCCTGTTGTGTAAGATGCTTAATTAAAAGGGGAACTTTGGTTTTATTTATCCTGTATTTTGCGCAAACTGCAAGTAAGTAAAAGCCTTTCTGGCTTGTTACACCCAAGGAGAAGGTCTATAGACAGAGGCAGAAGAGACAGGAAGGGCAGACACTGTCAGAACTCAGGATGTTTCTCTTGACCTTGGAGCAGAAAGGCGGATAGGGACTTAGAGTATAGAACAGGGTGGCTCGTGTGGCAGGATAGAGGCTTCCATCTAGCTCAGGGGCCAAGGGAGTGCTTGAACTTCTTATCTTGCATTCATTCTCTTCTAGGAAAGAAGGCAGAATAATCAGGTGAGGTGGAGGCTATGGAAAGATGTTCTGTTCTTGTCTTTAAAAAAATTACAAAAGTAGGCCAGATGTGGTGGTGCATGCCTGTAGTCTCAGCTACTTGGGAGGCTGAGGCGAGAGGATTGCTTGAGCCCAGGAGCTCAAGGCCAGTCTGGGCAACATGAGACCCAATCTCCAAAACATAACAATAACAAAAGTAATATATACTTGCTATTAAGCAAAAACAAACAATGTATATAATGAAAATAAGTTAATTTCCCCAGTCCTATTCCTTGAGAGTAACCATTGTTAACAATTTTAATATTCTTCCAGATTTTTCTCTTCATATACAAAATATGTTGTTACTTTTTTTTTTCTTTTCTTTCCTGTGTTGTAATTCCTTCCTGCTACACATAATAGGTACTAAATGATATGCATTAAAAGAAATGGGGCCAGGCTCGGTGGCTCAGCCTGTAATCGCGCGCCTTTGGGAGGCTGAGGTGAGTGGATTGCCTGAGCCCGCGGGTTCAAGACCTGCCTGGGCAGCGAGACCTCATCTCTACAATAAATCAAAAAATCAGCCTGGCATGGTAGCGCATGCTTGTAATTCCAGCTACTTGGAAGGCTGAGGCGCACTACTTGATTTTTTTTTTTTTTTTTTTTATCAAATAGCTTTTGGATGTATACCAGGATGTCAAAAAATGCATACACTTTTTTTATTTTGAGTTGGAGTCTCACTCTGTCACCCAGGCTGGAGTGCAGTGACATGCTCATGGCAACCGCAGCCTCGACCTGCTGGGCTCAGGTAATCCTTCCGCCTCAACCTTTCATGTAGTTGGAACTACAGGCACATGATACCATGCCCAGCTAATTTTTTGTTATTGTTGTTTTGGATTTATTGTAGAGACAAAGTCTCACCAAGTTGCCCGGGCTGGTCTTGAATCCCTGGGCTCAAGCAATCCTCTTACCTCAGCCTCCCAAAGTGCTGGGATTACAGGCTTGAGCCATCGCGTTCAGCCATGCATACACATTTTTTTTTTTTTGAGTTGGAGTCTCACTCTGTCCCCTAGATTGGAGTGTAGTGACTGCTGCCGGCCACCGCAGCCTTGACCTGCTGGGCTCTGGCGATCCTTCCGCCTCAGCCTTCCAAGTAGCTGGAACTACAGGCGCGCGGTACCACACCCAGCTAATTTTTTATTTATTGTAGAGATGAAGTCTCACCAGGTTGCCCAGGTGGGTCATGAACCCGCAGGCTCAGGCAATTCACTCACCTTGGCCTCCCAAAGTGCTGGGATTAC